CCTTGTCCTATCGCTATCCACCCTTGTAAACAGCCGTTCCCCTCCTGCTTACATCCCCTTCCTGTTTATAATTTCATTCACTTCTATTTAGATTAAAAAAAAACCAAAAAAAAACAACAACAAAAAAAACTTGTTTGTTTGCTTTGCAACAAGATCAAGAGGATTAACTACACCTGTTAGCCAAAGGAAAAGACAAATGATTACTTGGAAAAAGTCTTGTCACAGCAGTGACTTTGACATATGTCTTATCAAATACTATTTTTCTGTACTCAGCGTGTCATCATCTTTGTCTGTTTTTCTGATTTGGCATATTAATTGGAAGTGTTTCTGTTCTCTCCTTGCTTGCTTATGGCCGAATTTTTTATTTAAAAGATACTTGTATTTCTTAGCATGCCTGCGATCATTTATTTTTCAATTTCATGTTTTGTAGCTGGGTTGAGCTTAACCTGGAGCAAAGAATGAAGAGCATCCTGCTTTCATTCCCTAAGCCACATGCCTTGAGGATTTCATTTCCTGAGCTGCTTCAAAAATGTTTATCATTTCACAAGACCAAGGATGTTATTGCTTAGTCCTGACCTGGTACTGCCTGTGTGAGGCAAAGCACAAGGATGCACCAGAGACGGTGACCTATAATTCTCAGTTTTCACTGATTTCAGACTGTTCCTGAGGAATTGAGGGTACTGTGTCCACATGTCCCTAACAAAATGTTCACACAGCTTTTTCATGACCCCTTCCTCATCTAATCTTACTCACTGCCCTGTTTCTTGGGTGAGGTCTTTCACTTCTCATGGTTATCTGACTAGAAGTTGTTCTTTATCTTAATGTAATTTAACAGGTGGTTTTTTCTTCTAGATGTAATAACTCAGGGGTGTCTTTATTAATACAGTAATAATTCTGGTTCAGACTGGGGTTTAACTCCAGCTGTTTCTCAGTATAGAGCAGAATAGGATCACCTGTTATTGCTTACATCAAAATTCAGGAGTTCTTGGCTATTTTTTGTGCCTATCCACGTTCTGCATATTACTTGTACAGCATCCTTGTGGGAGACTGTGTTCCTAAGGGGGATGCTCTTTCCAGGAACACACCAAGGATGTGCTTGGAACGGAGCAAGGCCTGTTCAAGAAGGAGATGGTTGAAAGAAAGTTTGTGGAATGGAGTAGCATGACAGGTTTTCTTCATGGAAAAAGTAGTTGTCAGGAAAATCAACAGTGTCCTGTTGTGTCAGAGCTCCTGAGTTGTGTTACCTGTGTTCAGAGAGGTCTAAAACATTGGATTTTAAGATGAAGTTGTAATGGTCTGGAGATTGTTAAAGCAACAACCGGTAGCTGTTCTTCTGGGTACGCACCAACTGCCCTGCTCTGTGCCATGTTTGAACCATCTGGCATTCCAGTGCTTTTATTTATTCTTTTCCTTAAACAAAACCAGCTATTAGTTACTGTATGTAGGCCTTGAGTGGGTGCATAAATGTTAAAAGTATCCATATATTCACATGTGCCTCTGTCTCTTTTTAAGAGTAAAACAGGTTAACAGAAAAAAATTGGTGTAAGTGAGAAAATGAAATTGAGATGTATTCTAAACATCAAATTAAAGGAATGAATAACACAGGTAAAAGCGGAGAATAAAACAGTGTAACGTACTTGCATTAAAGACTTTTTGGGCATTAATCTGATAATTGGATATCTGCTGAGAAGGCAGCACAGTGAGCTTTAAGTGATTCAGGAGACTCCTGGAGTCCACTGACGATAACTTTCTGGTTCAAGTATTGGGCAAACCAACTGGAGGTGAAGCATTGCAGACCTGGTGCTTGCCAATGTAGAGGAGATTATTAAAGATATTAAGATCAGAAGCAGCCTGGTCTGCAGAGACCATGACCTGGTTGAGTTTGTGATCTCAGGGAATGCAGGCCTGGCAAAGAGTGGAGTCAGGACCCTGAACCTCAGGCTGTTGAAGAAATTGTTGCATGAAGCCTCCTGATAAGAAGTCCTGAGAGACAGAGGAGTGGAACAAAGCTGGCTGCTATTTAAGGATGCCTTTATGGAAGTGAAAGAGATTTCATCCCTCAATAAGAAAAAAAAGAGTCCAGGAAGGCAAGAAACTAGCATGGCTTGGCAAAGACCTGCTGGTCAAACTGAAGGAAATAGACAAGTAAAGGTAGTGAAAGCATCAATGTGTCACCTGGGAAGAATACGGGGATGTTGTCTGAACTTGTAGAGATGGGATTAGGAAAATAAGGCACAGGTGGAACTGAACTTGGTGAGAGGTGTTAAAAACAAGAAGAAGGGATTCTCTAGGTACGTAGGTTGGAAGAGATAGGCCAAAGAGCACACTTCCTCTGCTAAATGAGAAATGGCTATGACAGATATGGGGAAGGCTGAGATCTTTGAGTGAGTTCTTTGCCTTGGTCTTCACTGGCAACCAGTATTCTTGCATCTCTGAACCTCTAGATGGGAAATGGAGGAGCAAGCTCCACCCCACTGTAAGGGCAGAGGAAGTCTGAAACCGACTCGTGAGACTGGATGTGTACAAGTTTGTGGGGCTGAATGGTATGTATCCCAGGGTCCTAAGGAAGCTGGCTGCTGTGATTGCTGCGCTACTGTCCATGATATTTGAAAAAATCTTGACTGTCAGGTGAAGTCCCCAGGGATTGGAAAAAGAGAAACATAGCTCCTGTTTTCAAGAAAGGAGGAAGAAAAACCCAGGAAACTACAGACTGGTGAGCATCACCTCTGTGTCTGGGAAGATCATGGAATGCATCCTCCTGGACGATATGTTAAGGTACATGAGGGATGAGTGGGTGATCCACGACAGCCAGAATGGCTTCAGCAAGGGAAGATCATGTCTGACCAATCTGGTGGCTTTCTGTGATGGAGTGATGGCATCAGTGGACAAAGGAAGGCAACTGATATCATCTACCTGAACTTCTGCAAGGCCTTTGACGTGGTCCCCTACCACATCCTTATTTCTGAATTAGAAAGATGTGGATTTGAAGGGTGGACTATTCAGCTGATAAGGAATTGCTTGGAAGATCACAGTCAATGGGTTGTGGTCAATGGCTCTGTGTCCAGGTAGAGGCTGGTAATGAGTGATGATCAGACTGAGTGCACCCTCAGTAAATTTGCTGATGACACCAAGCTGAGCAGTGGGGTTGATACAGCAGAAGGAAGGGATGCCATCCAGAGGGACCTTGATAAACTCAAAAAGTGAGCCCTCGTGAACCTAACGAGGTTCAACAAAGCAGAGTGCAAGCTTTTGCATTTCGGTTGAGGTAATCGCAGATGTGCGTACGAAGTGGGAGAAGAACTCCTTGAGAGTAGTCCTACTGAGAAGAGCTTAGGGGTCCTGGTTAACGCCCAACTTAACATGAGCCAGCAGTGTGTACTTGCAGCTTGGAAGGCCAATGACATCCTGAATTCCATCAGAAGAGGGGTGGCCAGCAGGGCAGGTGAGGTGATTATCCCCACCTCCATTTTTTTGAGACCACATCTGGAGGAGGCTGCTAACAGTAAAAATGTGGAGCTTTTGGAAAGCTTTTTGTGGCCCAGAGGAGGGCCACAGAAGTGATCAAAGGGCTGAAGGAACTGGGCTTGTTTAGCCTGGAAAGGAAAAGATTGGAAAGCCAAAATGAGGTCTCCTCACAACATTTAAAGGGAGTTTACGAATGTGAGGGAAATGGAGAGTAGATAATGATGTGACAAGGGGGAATGATTTTAAACTAAACGAAGCAAGATTTATATTAGATGTCAGGGGAAAGGTTTCTACTGAGAGAGGTGAGGTTCTAGAACAGGCTTCCCAGAGAGGTTGTGGATGTCCCATCTCTGGAGGATGGGGACCCTGGGCAATCTGATCTAGTACTTGATCCAGGGGCTGGCAACCCTGCCTTTGGCAGGGGGGTTGGAACTTGATGGTCCTTGAGGTCCCTTCCAAGCCATTCTTCGATTAACAACTCTTTAAGTATGCAGGTGCTGTACTTGCTGTGTGTGACATTTGGGGGTGGTTTCTGACTGAAGGGGAACTTCCTTTCTCTCAAATATTCCACGAGTCAGAAATGCAAGAACTGTTTTGCTGAAGTTTTAGTTCTCTGCTTTGTGATGTTGAAGAGGTGGGGATTGTATGTAAGATACAATCTGCTGTAGTGGCAGAAGGGAAATATAAAATAGGATTATTTAAATGCTGAATAGATCCAGCTGTAAGGGAAGCACTACTTGCATGTATGTTTAGCATCTTTGATGTCTTTCTCTTTCCAGCTCTATGTGGCCACTGAAGCCATCCTCATTGCACTGGTGGGGGCAACTCCTCCATACCACTGGGATCTGGAACTGCTCTTTGCTAACCAGAGCCATAGCAACCAGTCAGCGAGTGAGCAGAGAGCCTTTGGGGAATGGCTTCTTACTGCCAATGGCAGCGAAGTTCATAAGCACGTACACTTCAGCAGCAGCTTCACATCAATAGTCTCTGAGGTAAGTCTGAAATGGGTTTTGTCGCTCTGTGTGTGAGCAGTAAATCTCATTGACAGAGTGGGGAGGAAAGCTGATGGTGCTGCTGATTCTTTCTCCTGTACTAATGCATGTTTTGAGTAGCAAATGAAGCGGGTGCTTCTTCCAGGTAGAGAACAAGTAACCTATTCCTATGTTAACTGCCTTGCTTTGCAGTGCAAATCTCAACCAATGTTCTGCATCAAAACTGCCCACCTTTTCCATGTGGAAGGTTGGTATTGGATCAGATAGCCTGGTTCCACCATTGGGTTAGCATCATGTTATTGTACTAACGTGTTTAAAATCTTGTATATACCTTAAGCTCTTTCTATCTGCCATCTGCAATTTCCTTGGTAAGACAGATGCGTGCAGTGAATCCATCCTGTTATTAGGAAGAAGTGAAGGAATTGGAGAGAAAGCAGCTTCTGCTGTTTCTTTACAACTTCATGGAGGGCACGGGCAATGGAGAGCAAGATGTATGAGGCAACCTCATCTGTTTTATCCCAAAACAATCTTCAGCTTTGTCACTGTGGCCTCTATGTTTTATCAGTGTCCTCTTTCATGGTACAGTCACTGTCTCTAGAGGAATGATTCCAGCTTTCATGCTGTGCTATGTGCATCACCTGCCGTTGCTAAGGCCTACAATATCTATTAATGTTGTTCTTCTGTGCAAGAGCCCTATCTGAGTAAGGTCTGAATTTAGCTCTGTACAGCTGAGTTCAACAACATAGCATTACTTGATAATTTGTGGCTATTGTCCAAATGTGTTAATGCTGCTCGAGTTAGTTCCATAAAGTACTTAAATTTATTGGTTATGAGCATATTAATAACTGCCAGTATTGGAACAGTACCAAGCAATTGTGTACAACATGTACTGCTTCTTATTCTGCTAATAAAGAGAATGAGTGCTTATGCCTCTATTGAAATTAAAATCCTAATGGACAGTGGCTTCTTTGAGCGTAACTTAAAGCCAATTGTCAGTTCTTTAAATTTTGTCTGAGCTTTTCACTTTTTTGGTTTTCAGTTTTCCAATAATTATTTATTCTCTTAATCTTGACAAGTCAGACGTTTTTTGAAGCCAAGCAGTGCCTTTGGATATAAATTTTGTGAAGATTCTTGTGCATCTTAGCTGCACAGGTGAAAAAATGCGGGTGCAGAACTTAAAGTACAACATAAAAATGTATCCCAAGGTATCTTGTATGTTAAAGAATTTCAAAGCAGAGTCTGAACTTTTCAGTAAAGACCCACATATATAAAAATCCTGTTGCTTCCTGAGATAAACTTTCTTCGGAACTTTAACCCCATGTATCATACACTTGAAAATGGGGTTAATTATAAAGATCTCACTGCATTTCTTCAAAAACTACTTGATCTTATTTTGGGGCTTTTGATCACTAATGCAGTCTTTCTACTGGCATGTAGAGAATTTTTTTCAACATTTCAGGAGGATATTTTTAATGTGTACCTTGTTGTATCATTTACTAGTTATGTGACTATTGCAAACTTGCAATGAAAAATCTGATGTCAAAAGATGTGTGATATCCTCTCTGTAGAAGAGAAATCTCAAGTCCTTTAAAGGTCATCTTAGTCATTGAGATTAACCTGCAGAACACATCTGAACAAATTTCACTTCACCACAATCAAATTATGCTTTGATCTCTGAATGATTCAGAGAGAATCTAATATCACTGAGATCACGTTGTGGGCTTTTTTTTTTCCAACACTTCTACCAAAATTGGGGAATAATTCTTGTAGCTCTTACAAAACAACTGTCCATGTTATTTCAAGTGAAGTGTAATCTCATCATATGCTATTATTATAGAGATATACTTTATTGTGAATTATTTTTCTAAATCTAGACAAGCTGATCTGAGGTCTCCTGGTTAGTTTCAGAAGATAATTTTGTCAGAGTCCTGACACCCTACTGCTGAGCATGTCAGTAAAAGCTTCACCATTTAAGTGACGATTTGATGAAGCCTGTACTTGAGAGTAAGCAAGTTATTTTCCTGGAGCTTCTGTGTGATTATATTTTGTTAGCCCTGTAATCTTGGTAAGACTTAATTGCACGGTTCTCTTTCCATGGCAAGGTAGTTCGTAGCTGAGATGTGAAATAATATAAGCCTGGCTAGAGTGGATATCTAATAGGGTTTTGGTAGGGGAAGAGATTATGAAGAGAGGATTAGATTGTTATTACAGGGATAATGACATAATCACCAGCTTACCTGCCCAGGAAGAAAAAACTGGTATCACTGAAAGAAAACATTATTTCAAGACAAAAGAGAAGCAGAAAAAGAAAAAGAACGCCATATAAGCTTTTAGAATAAAAAAGGAAATAAATTTTGAACAGTGAGAACATGATATAATTTAACTGTGTAGTGTTGTGGGCGAAAGAATTCTCTCTGCCAGGCTGATCTATGAGGCAACATTAGGTCTGTAAGAACATCTGAAGATCAGGTGTGTGTTTGGAATAGAGAAGAATTGGGAGTTGCACAAAGAGGACTGTAAAAATAAATAGAAGCATGAGCAATACCAGAAAACTTGTCAAAAGCTGCCAGAGTGTTTCACATTGACAAAACTGTTCCTAAGGAGGAGAGAAATATTTCTGGACACGAATCACAATGCTTAATTTCGTGTAGTATTCCTACACCCTGCAGTGATAAATGCCAAGAGGTAGGACTGAATATATTTAAGCTCGTAGTTTTGATGTGAGAAAAGGCAAGAAAAGTAAGAGAGGGGACAAAGGCTGCAAAATTACAATATCCCATGAGGTATCTATTCTTGAGTTCAGAATCAAAGACTGTACTTGATCTGGGGAGCTGTGCAATTGGTTACTATGTCTCCAGAGAATCTGGAAGAAAGCACTTGTTTCAGTGCCTGTGTGATGACAGACCGACTGGAATGCTTAGGAGATTTAAGCAGTTTTATCTTCCTGAAAGTATGTTTCACCCCCCTCCAACTGTTGGTGAACCACTTTGACTCTGTTGAATTCTCCTTTTTTGTCTCCATCCAGTGGTTTTTAATTGGCAACACATCATACAAAGTCAGTGCTGCCAGTTCTTTCTACTTCAGTGGTGTGTTTGTTGGAGCAATCTCCTTTGGCCAGCTCTCAGATCGCTTTGGAAGGAAGAAAATCTATCTCACAGGTAACAGTAATGATCTTTTTCCAGGTAAACAATCAAAATGAATGAAGTGGAGATGTTGAATCTCTGAAAAATGAGTTGCAAGAGCCCAGTTCTTCTGGCAACTTAGTACAGATTTGTCTTTCCAGTGTATTTCTGGGGACAAGAAATTAATATTGTACTATTCAATCAGTACCTGAGTACTAAGGAGATGTTCTGAATTTAGGAATTGTACTACATTTGCTAAAAAACAAGCACAAGCAATGGTTGTCATGCTCAGAAGTGATTAATATTCCTAATAATTCATTAGCAACGTTCTTATACGTATAACCTTCTGTAAATTTTTTTTTTCTTTTGGCTGCATGAATTATTTTTTTTTTTGTATTTGGGATTGTCACTTTAAAATTCACAAAGTTTTTTTTTTGTTGTTTTTACTCTCCCTAAATCACGCATTTGGAACTTTGTGTTTTGTGTATGTTTGTTTTTGGTTTTTTTTTGTAGATGGATAAGCATGTAGAACCAAAACAAGTGCACTTTTTTTCCTTCAAAGAAACAATCTCATTTATTCAAAGCTGATTAAAAATGAATCTGCCATGCAGTGCAAAGTTCCCATGTACTATCCCCTGATAAAGGTTCTCTAATCTATATGGAGTACTTTCCAGAAATGAGGGGAGATATTTGATCATATGCTTAGCCTGGGGTTTCTGTATGAACATAAACATGAAACCATCTTAACAGGATCCAGGAAGTAATTTTAAATATTTGAAAAATTGTCTTCCATGAATTGAATTTGGGGGTTTAGTACTGCAAATCAGGTATCAGCAATCACTCCTTGTGTTCTTCCTTTTATGGTATTGACTTTGGGTTCTTGTATTTCTACCCATACCTGTGAAATGTAGCCATGTTTTATAGCTGTTGAATTTGATTGCTTAAGGCATCAAGTGAATGTCAAATAAAGACATTGATAAGCACTTCTATTTTACTACCTTTTCCTGAAGTTCAACCTTTTGCCTCTTACTTCCAGGTTTTGCCCTTGACATCTTGTTTGCCATTGCAAATGGATTCTCACCCTCATATGAATTCTTTGCCGTGTCTCGATTCTTGGTAGGGGTGATGAATGGTGGGATGTCACTGGTGGCCTTTGTTCTACTGAATGAGTGTGTGGGTACTGCCTACTGGGCATTAGCAGGTAAAAGTTGAGTGTTGGTGTCTTTATTGTCAGAACTTATGGATTTCAGTTGCACATACTGCACGAGACACACCAAAGCTAATAAGCATTTACAAAGTTAACTTTGCTTTCTGTGTAACCACAATCTTTGAGTCCTGCTTTATTTAATGTGTATTTTAGGCAAGCACAGTAGGTAACTTGGCCATTCAGGTTTCTACATCACCCAAGCTGACTAAGGTACTCAAGTTGAAACAAATCCCCTGTGGGTGTTAAGCAGCTTAAAACTTATCCACTGTTTATGCTAGCTGAGCTCTATCCACTGGAATTGAGACTGTGTGTTGTGGTTTAATCCAGCAGGTGGTTAAGCACCACACAGTTGTTTGTACTACTTTTTATGCATGGTAAACTGGAACATATTTACACTTTAATTCTATACAGGGCTTTAGGTGAGAGAATGTAGGAAGATGCTTTTTGGACTTGTTTTGATGTTTGTAATTAGGTGCAATGCATCTGTGCTGTGTGGGTGAAGGATGGAATTCTCTTTGGATAAATAGCTTTGTGTTTGTCTGTGCTACTGAGTGAAATGTTCTTAATGAAGAATTATTTTCTGTATTTCCATGTGTTAGGATTTAACAGTGTTCTTTAATAGAGTGATAATGGTGTTTTTGTTCTTTTTTTTTTTTTTTTTATTGTGTGTCAGGATCTATTGGTGGCTTGTTCTTTGCTGTGGGAATTGCCCAGTATGCTTTGTTAGGGTACTTCATTCGCTCCTGGAGGACTCTGGCTGTTGTGGTTAACCTGGAAGGAACAGTAGTCTTTCTTCTCTCTCTGTAAGTAGTTGAACTACTGAACTTCGAGGAAGATATCAGTAATGAGAGAAAATACAATTAGGTCAAGGAGCTTCTCTAGGCTGGTATGAAGTGCTGTAACTAAGATATTTTTCTGAGCTTTGGCCACCTTGTGTTACTATATGCTGCAATATCTGAAAATGCAAGTGCATGCTTCATTGTATATGTGTTAGTACTGTAAATTGGACTAGTCTTGAGGTGGTATACATCCTACTCCTTCACTGTTATGTGTTAGATTCTTCAAAGTGTCCTCTGGTATGCTGCAAGATACTGTGTAACAGGTCATAAAAGATACAGAAATGTGCTTATGTGATAACTTATTTCTCTTCTAATTCTGCTTACGTCGAAAGAACTGCCTCAAAATTGTTTGCACATTCTTAAAGGTGACGTGCAAATGGGCAGCTTCCTTTGATTTTTTTTCAAAAAATCTGATTAGGAAAGAATTGGAAAAAGGCTTCTTTAAAGTAAAGTAGCTAGGATCTTTGTGACGTTCAGCACTGAAAGGTATGAGGTGCAGTGGTGCAGTGTTTTCTTCCTCTGTCATATCTTTCTTCATATCAGCAACTGATAAGAAATTAAGTTTAGCTGCAGTTCCAATTTAAGGCTTTTTCCTTCCAATATCTGTTTAACTTTGGTAACTACTCTCTTGCTAAAGTCAAAACAGCCTTTCAAAGAAAGCAGCATGTTAAAGGCTGTTTATGAGGTGAAAGGCATATTTGACATTTCTGATGTTTCAAAACCTTCATAAGGTGATATTTAGGGCTTTTTACTATTTATTTTAATGTTCAGATAACCTGTTCAATTTTCTTTATGCTTGGGACTTAAGAGCTGTGCTCAGAGGCCCATTTTACTGTAAATAAGAATTTTTCATTCCCAGGTTTCACACTGCCTCCCACCTACGTTACTTAAAAATGACTATTTATATGAAAAGTTACCAGATTTTTTTTTTATTATGGGGAAGGAAACATACTATTTTCTGAATTCTTCTTAAAAGCACAGAAACACTTGCTCCAGGAAAAAATGTCACTTCAGCCTTTTGCCAGATCCTTTTTAAGACTGTGCAGAAGTTGGCACAGAAGAATTAGTTCTGGGAATCTGAGAATAAATTCTTTTGTAGGATGTATTGGAGTTACAGACCTATTGAGTGGATGCTGTATGTGAAGTGCAAGTGCATGATTATTTTTGTACAGCCTTGCTATCTACAAGAGAGAATTAGAAGAATGATTATTATAATTATTATTAATTATAAAGAGGGAAAATGTTGGAACGTGAGGAACAGAAGACAGCTAGTAAACATTGTAAAACATTTTACTTTTAATAACGTGGAGCGTCTTTGATTCTGAATTCCACTAGGAAGAATCCTAATGATATTGTAATTTATACTGTTGTGTGTATGTATGTGTGTATACATGTACACACAATTTTTTGTTACCTAAATTGCATACGAATTATTTTCCCTTTATTTCCAACGTACTTTGTTTCAGTAAATGTGTTGTATACCTGAAGGGTTGTTTGAGAAATTATCTTATACTGAAACATATTTCAGCCTTATTTCCATAGGCAAGCCCAGCACTGTAGAATAGAAAAGCCCTCAAGGTGTCTCTGCAATATATATAATTTCTATATATAAATAAAAGAAATGTGTGTTACAGGTTTATTCCAGAGTCCCCCCGCTGGCTATATTCACAAGGCAGGCTGAGTGAAGCAGAAGATGCCCTCTACCTCATTGCAAAGAAGAACCGCAAGCAGAAGCACACTTTTTCATTAAAACTCCCTGCTGAGAGGAGCCCCAGAGAAGCTGGCAGTTTCTTGGACCTCTTCCGATACAGGGTTCTCTTGGGACGCACCTTAATCATGATGTTCACCTGGTACTTGAAATACTCTGTAGGCCCAGCTGTATTGCTTTGATTCTTAGAGGGAATGTGCTGTGAGAATCGGCTAATCGTGCATGTTGTACATTGTCTCAACCTTTATTTTTAGGGGTCCCTATTGTAGTATTTCCTCAGTATATTTCTAAAGTTAAGCCATTTTTACAATTTAGTTCTGAGATATTTTGTCTTTGCGTTTCACTTGTGCTTTTCGAGGCGTAGAGCTGTTGAGAGCTGGATATTCCTTCCTGGCCCTCAAAGGCTGCTGGGATTAGTCATGCTGTCATCCTCTTTGGTTCCATGCTATGCATCCATACTTTCAATCATTTGGATTATTTCTTGTGTTTTGTGTATTAGGAGCCTGTTAGTAGGTTGGTGGCCTACCTTATCTAATGTGTATTTCCTAAAAGAAAGTGCTACCTGAGGTTGCCAGTGCTAGCAGTTGCTGTAGTATGGAGCAGGAACCTATGACACTACTTTTAGTCACTAGCAGAAATGTAGTTATCCAAAAGTACTTGTTTTGGTTTGTTCTGTTCATCCAGATGCTTTTATAATGCACGTTTTTGGGAAGAGGTATTAAGAAAAAAACAAATGACTTTTTTTTTTTTTTTCAGCTGTCAGCATAAGTCTATACTTCTGTGGCTTTTCCAAATATTTAGTGCAGAACAGTCAATTTTCTGTTCTGTAAATGAGAATTAGGAGATTGCCTTGTTGATTTACTGCAGAATGAATTGGCAACGTGTTCCTTTTTTCTCTGTAGAGAATTCATTCAGGGTCACAAAAGAAAAATGAAAATCAGAATCTGGAAATGGATAGAACTGGACCAGGATGTAGAAATTAGAGGAAGGTAGAAAAAGGCCTGCTATCTAAAACACTATATATAATTGATACTACACTGTACCAGATGAGTGCTTTGATATGGCTGACAAAGTTCCAACTCTGATTTTACTTTTTTTTTCCCCCTATCTTTTACAGGTTTGTGTGCAGCTTGGTTTATTACGGTCTTACCCTTAATGTGGGTGATTTAGGTGGAAACATTTATGCCAATTTAGCCCTATCAGGGTTGATAGAAATCCCAGCATACCCAATCTGTATTTACTTGATTAACCAAAAATGGTAAGTATGAAATTCTATTAATGTGTTTAGCATTTTCTTTTTTTTTATATAAAATACAAGTTTCTTTCAAATTGTATCTCCTAGCCCACAGACACTGTATGGAATTTTCTGCTTTGCTATTTCCAGTTCATTATATTCTCTTGAGAAATGATTTTTTATTTGAAAGTGCTGCTGGTGGATCTTCACCTCTAATAAGGTTTAAGTTGTTGCTCAGTGACTCATTCTTGTATGGCTCAAAGATAAAGATGATTGTCAGTAGAATTAGCTGTGCTGACTCTATCCTGACACAAGATGGCATGATTCCCACCTGTCTTGTAACTCCCATTTTGTTAGGTCAAAGATGCTACAACTAAATTCAGCAGCTGAAACTGTTGTGTGATGTAATTTTACAGCTGCTGCACAAGTGTAAGAGCAGACTCTTAGCCCTTTCCTGAGCTGTTGTACTCCAGACATTGTCTTACTTTTTTTTTTTGTGTGTGTAATTCACTTTCCAGTCTCTTTTCTAAATGTCTCTTGAGAAGCTTTACATACATGCACACAGTGGGAAGGAAATAAAAATCCTTGAGATTGTGAGCTGCAGCATGAAGACTTCTCAGTGCTCATTTTGTTGAGAGCAGCAGAAAATTTTTAAAGCAGTGGGAGAGGGGGTGTTTGTGGAGATGGCATTTGATATTTCTGCAAATAGAGACAAGGTGAATGTAGAAGCTTCATTGGTTATCCTTTTTTGGACACCAGGTTTGGTCGAAAGAGAACACTGAGCGCGTTTCTGTTCCTGGGAGGATTGGCTTGTCTTATTGTCATGTTTCTTCCTAAAAAGAAAGGTAAATGTTTCCTTTTGTTTCTGGAATACTTAGTAAGAAGTTGCAAAACTCCTTCCCCAAAAGCCTAAGAATTTTTGCTTGTCAGTGCAGTAGGCTTGTACTTAAAAGCCACAGAAGCTAAGCCATAAGTAGCAATTTCCCTAGGATCTTAAGAAAATCTTGTTGGAAAAAATGTGGGTTTGAACTCGTCTTTGGATTCTGTCCTACACTTCCACTTTAATCACAACAGTCACTCCTTTCCAGTGTTTCTGAAGTAATTCCAAGAAATGATGTTTTTTGGGATATCTCCATTATCCAAATGAGCTGTCAGTATAAATACACATGCAACTCGTAGGTATCTCTCCAAGTGAAAGGCTGTGCCAAAAGAGCCTAAGTGACACATTTTCTCTATCAGATACTGGAGTTTTTGCAGTGGTGAACAGTCGCTCACTTTCTTTGCTGGGAAAACTGACAATCAGTGCTGCATTTAACATTGTCTACATCTACACGTCAGAACTTTATCCCACAGTGATCAGGTAATGCAAGTTAATTTTAAGATTTTCATTTTTCTGGTTCTTTTCCCTGATCACCTTTTACTTCTCTTTTTCTAATAATTACATTTCATTTGAGATTTTCACTTAACATACAATGATTACCTGTATGGTCTTGTATGTATTGAACTTTCTTTTCTCTTATCCTCACCTCCATCTCCCTCAAATGTGCAGTGTTCTCTTCAGAGTAACTGTATTCTCCATAATAATAAAACAGACCTTTTGGGTGCTTAGTGTTCTCACAGCCTTCTCTCCACTAATGAGGATAACAGTAGTATTGCTGACCAACAACATCTGTGGGTTCCTCAGTGCTTTATAAACCAGGCAATTCTGTTGAAATTTGTGCTTCCTCAACAAGCAATGTTAAAGATGCAACCAGTCAGTAAGCTTTGTGAAAGCAATTTGGTGCTTTGAAGGCAGAAGTTCCCTGTGCTTGTGGTGAATGAGTAGATAAAGGCATCTATTATACAGGTGCAATTTTTAATACATGTATTTGTTTGCCAGCTATCACTGTTAGTGGCTAGACATCATTGAAACTATCCTGTAAAGCTGTTCTCCTCTGTTGGGTGAATCTGCTGATATGGATAAAGGAATCTAGCCAGAGTTTCAGGAAGAGATAAGATGCAATGACTGAAATCACACCTTTTTTTTTATTTTTGTCATCTTAAATGTATGCATATGTTAGAATTCTGAACGTGCAGTGGATTTGTGCTTTTCTCAGAATACAAAGCATATGATTTCATTCCTTTTTTCAGGTGTTTTCGTTTAGATTTCACTTTTTGTTGCCAGTTGGTATGGCCAGAATCATGAGTGAAACTTTTTTGTTGTCTTTTTTAAAAACCCTTTCCTGCACTTCCATCTTGTACTTTTAAAATTTTAGTTTTTCATGTGCAAATGTGACTAATTAACGATTTTTTTGTTTCTTCTTAGGAATGTTGGAATGGGTGCCTGCTCCATGTTTTCCCGTGTTGGTGGAATCATTGCTCCTTTTGTCCCTTCACTGGTTTGTCTGAACTTGCTATTTTAAGTACATTTTTGTTCTGCGGTTCCGATGGTTCAGAAGCTTGCAGAAGTGGAAATATTTGGGTAAACTGTGTATAGAAAATAATCTGTAGATTAGGTGTCTTGGCAGTGTTATGATAGGTTAAAGGCATTATGATATAATCTGTAATTAGACAGAAAATCCCAGTGTTTAGCTCAGAAGATACTTCAGGATTTTGAAATCCAGCCCCTGAATTTCAGCAGTATTGTCATTTGAAAGCAAAAAAAAAAAAACCCGAAACAACAAATTGTTCCCAAATTTAGACCATAAGCCAGCAATAACTAAAAATGTATTTAAAAGATTTACTGCATCAAGGTGATAAAGCATAAGAACTCACTGCTCTTCTCAGGAGCTCATATTTTTGAGTGGAGACTCATTTTACTGTTGCTGTGCTTCACTGAATCCGTACATCATAATAGTCAGTAAATGGTTTATATTTCAGTAAGTGCAGACCTGAGATACTTTAAGCTTCTGAGAACAGATCTTACAGCAGCCTGTCAAAGCAAAGAGAAATTCTCAAGAAACAAATATGAAGATGGTACTGTTCCCTTATGTTTATAGGCACTGTGTGCTTGTATGTAAAATAGAGTTCAGGGTTCTTTACTGATACAAACTGCTTGGTGAGGTCTAGTGAGTATTTCTTTAATATGACACGGATTTCATATGGAATAACTTTTCTCTTTGCCATCTGCCATCTTACTATGGCATGCAGAAGGCTGGTAGGAGGATAGATGAGCACACTGGACTTTTTTTTTTTTCATAGAATGAAACATAAAGTAGGTGGGAGTGTCTTCAGGGCAATAGGGGGCAAAGCCAAAGCTGGTACAGATCTCCCAGGTAGATTTAATGGACTGCTTTTATGTAGCAGTGGGGGGAATCCATTATGTTGTATGCCATGGACATTTGGCACTGAAAGAGACAAATATTTAATCATCATGTTTTGAAAGGGTCCAAGGAAAGTCAAAATAGCTTTTTTTAAAGAATAAATGAGCATTGATTTGTGGGAAGAATTAAGGTTTTCATCAGAATTTCTTAAACTACTTGAATGTATTTTCCAATAGCTCTTCTCTGTGAATCATATACAAAGAGTTGCAATGGAGAAAAGTTAATTGTTGAGCTAAGAGATGAAATGTTCTCTTGTATTTCATCGTAGTTCTCTTGAGTTTCTTTTTTTTTTTTTCAGTTTAGAATTGCTTTTTCACTATAGAAAATGAGTTTTTGAAACCGTGCTATACTCCTGTATTTTTTTTTTTTAGATAAGCATTCTTCTGAAAGTGAATATATACATTTTTGAGCTATATTGAAGATGATTCCTATTTTTGCACAAAGCTGCATGAAGTATAGTTCTACTTTTAACAAAATGTATAAAGAGGAACAGAATTAAAAGGTGATCTGCCAGCATCATTGGGTTGTCAGGGTGATGGCAGAAAGGCGAAAGCTCAGTTGAAACTCAAACCTAGCAAGGAGCATAAATACAGATTCTGTCAGTCAAAGGACATATAGTGTTTAGCTCATTGTTGAATGGAAGAGATAGCCTATTGGTGGATGAGATGGAATAAGATGAAGTACTTAACACTTGCTTTAGTCTACACAGGCAAAGCCTGACCCCAAGCCTCTGTGCATATCAGCACAGTTTAGGAAGCAGATGGCCAGGCAGCAGTGGAGGAGCAGTAGGTTCATGAACCCTGAGAGAAGCTCAAAGCTTTCCAGTCCATGGGATAGGAATTACTAAGTGGTGGTGAAAGAGCTGGCTATGCTAGTGAGCCAAGTGTCTGTCTGAAAACTCATTGTAGTAGATGGAGGTCACTGATTACTAGGGGGAAGAATGCTAATACTGATGCTAAATACTGTGCGTGTCTTTAAGATGGATCAGAAAGTGAATCCAGGTAATTTCCTGCTGATCAGCTCTAACTCAGCCCCTGGGAAGATCAAGGATATGGCCTCACAGAGTTTATTTCCAAGCATGTTAAGGCCGAGAAGGTAATTGGGAACAGTTAGCATGAATTTACTAGGGAAAGTTAATTCTCTGACAGTTTGGTAGTCAGCCATTCCATCACAGAACATAATGTGGATGAAGAAATGGAGGAGAAGAGAGAAAGCATTTTGGCACTGTCCCACAGCATTTTTGTTTGAAGGAATATTGGATGGATTTGAATGTTCCATGGACCATCCTCCTCATATTTGTTCTAAATGCAAAGGAGCATTTAACACAACAAATGATAAAGCTTAAATCCAGGGGGACCTTTTGGGCCAACAGAAACCCCATGAAGGTCAGCAAGAAGTGTAAAATTCTCTTTCTGGTTTGGGCTAATCACAGGGCTTGTATAGGCTGATCAACTGAGTAGCAGCTTTGCTGGAAAAGACCCAGGGGTTGCAATTGTATGGCAAGTTAAACGACAGCTAGCAGTGTCCTCACTGAAAAAAGGCAAATGTCACACTGAGCTGTATCAGGCCTATGTCAGTGCATGATCTGCAGATCAAATTTATGGTCTCTCAGTTCTAGAAAGATATGGAAAAAATCTGGAGAGGGTCCAGAACATGGCAACAGATGATGAGGGACCTAGAACATATAGTTTCAGGTGAAAGCTGAAAGAGTTGTGTTATAAGGGTTAGTGGCCACAGGTTGCAATTTGAGGGTTACAAATAAGATGCATAGAAAACTTCCTTTTCCTCTCTGAGAGGCTTAATATAGCCCTGGAGTGGTTCTCTCGGATGGGAGAAATCTCCATCCTTGGAGTTTTCAATGGCTACACAATGCTATGGTTGACATGGTTACAGCCAACACTAGACCCTGCTTTGAGTTGGTGGTTGGGCTAGATGACACCTAGAGATTTCTTCCAGTCAGCGTGTCTTTGTGTGATATATCTCTCTACTACAAAACGATGTAACATTTCATCTAAAGGAATGTATTATGGGCAAGAATTGAGTACAAGTTCAGCTGGCATTTCTTTTAAAGTCCAGTTCAAAATCTATATGGCTTTGATAGTACTGCTAGAAGCTGTCATGGTTTTGTCCGGATTTTATTCATACAGGCTTCTGTTGATTCTGTATTTTGGATTCTAGATGAAAATGGTGATGTTAACACTGATCTTTTACTTGTTACCAAGCACTGCTTGCATAGTCAAGGACTTTCAGCTTTTCATGCTGCCCTGCCAGCAATGGGACTTGGAGTGCACAAAGAACTGGGAGGGGACAGAGTCAGAACAGCTGGCCCAAATGGCCCAAAGGGATATTCCATACTGTATGACGTGATACCCAGCAATAGAAGCTGTAGGAGAAGGAAGGTGAAGGGTCTTTTGGACTGATGGCATGTGTCTTCCCCAGAAACTACTGCGTGTGTGTTAACCTCTGCTTTCCTGGACACGGCTGAACATGTGTTCTCATGATTTTACTATTCTGATTGTCTTCCCATCCCACCTGAAGAGAGTGAACAAGCAGGTGTGGTGCTTAGCTCCTTGCTGGGTTTAAGTCACAACAGATACAATTGACAATACTGCTAAGAGAGAATGAATTTGGTAATTTTTACAGTAAAGGTAAAGCACAGAATGGTTAAGGTTGAAGGGATCTTTGGAGGCTGTCTGGTCCATCTGTTCCACCTCCTAGCCCTTGGCTCAAGCAGGGTCAACAAGAGCCACTTGTCTAGGATTGTGTCTGGACAGCTTTGGATTATCTCTGAGGTTGGAGATTTCATCCCCTCTCTGGTCAACCTGTGCTCGTGGTTGGTTGTGCTCATAGTAAAAGTATTTCCCAGTGCTCAGAGGGTACCTCCTGTGTTTCTGATTTTTACCCATTTGTCTTGCTGTGTCAGTTGGCACAACTGGACACAGCCTGGTTCCATCCCTTTTGCACCTTCCCTTCATGTATTTATATGCCAATCTGAAAGTAATGCCTCCGATTTATTTCCATGAAAACAACAACAGATACAAAGAGCACAATCACACTATTAAATAGAGTACATTCTCAGCTACAAAACACGATTTTTAACATAGTCACCACCATTAGCTGTGCATTTTTGCCAGCGATGAACAAGAGCCTGAACACCGTGTTTCTGAAAAATCTGCACCGGCAGAAGTGGCCTACTATTTCACAGCTGCTGTGTCAGTGCTAGGAAAATGTTGTCCATCTTTCATTGGCCCAAATAGATGGAGTCAGAAGGTGCCAAATCTGGACTATACGGTGGGTGTGATAGGACAGTACAGCCAGGATTGGCAATGTGTTCCATGGCCATCAAAATGTTATGGGGCCTGGTGTTTTTGTGTTGCAAGAGAAAGGCTGTCTTCTCTGCCATGACTCTGGAAGTCTGAGCCTTCAATTTAGTCAGCATTGCAACGTACCGATCAGAGCTGATGTTTTGTCCAGGTTCCAGGAGATCCTGGAGAATCATCTTTTTTTATTATTCTGAAAGACAGTGTGCATCACTTTACCCACTAAGGGCTTGAACTACGTCTTCAATGGGGAAATTTGCACATCGCCACACCACTGATTCCCGTTTTGATTCTGGCTCATAGTGATGACACCACATCTTGTCACCAGTTAAGATGCAATCCAGGAATCAAGCGCTTTCAACCTCATATTTGTTCAGTAGGTCCTGACAAACTTGCATCTGGTGTTCATTCTGTTCTTGTGTGAGCATTTGTGGGATCAACCAGACACAAACTTTGCAATATTCCAGTGTTGCCGCTGTTGTTTCCAGCACACTGGTATTCAGCTCTGTATGCTGATCTCTGGTTGTAATCTGCCAGCTCGTGCAGATGAGCCAATTGAGATTCTCTTCATTTTTGTGTTGTGACAGCTGTGTATGACCATCCAGAACGTGGTTCGTCTTTCATGTTGCTGTTGCCACTGCTGAAATGCAACACCCACTGCCTCACTGTGCTCACTTCTTTCTGTTTGATCTCCATAAATGTTCATCAACTGTTGATGAATGTCAGTGGGTGCCTTTTTTTCCTGCATGGAAGAATTCAATGACACTCCTTTGCTTCATCTGCACTTTCATGTCAGATGCCACTTGGTCAGACTGCCCATCTGTTGTCAACAGCAAGGAAATGTAACAGAATAGTGGCAGGAAGGTTCAACTTCTATTGCTATACAATCAACGTCTGCTTCTCTGCTCTTGTGAGGCCCCACCTGGAGTACTGTGTCCAGGTCTGGAACCCCCAGTACAAAAAAGACAGCTGTTGGAGAGGGTCCAGAGGCGAGCCACAAAGATGATCAGGGGACTGGAGCACCTCCCCTATGAGGACAGGCTGAGGGAGCTGGACTTGTTCAGCCTGGAGAAAAGAAGGCTGCAGGGTGACCTCATTGCAGCCTTTCAGTACATAAAGGGAGCCTACAAACAGCAGGGGAATCAACTCTTTGAAAGGGTAGATAGCAGCAGGACAAGGGGAAATGGTTTTAAGTTGAGGGAGGGGAGATTTAGGTTGGATGTCAGGGGGAAGTTCTTTACAGAGAGAGTGGTGAGGTGCTGGAACAGGCTGCCCAGAGAGGTTGTGGATGCACCATTCCAAGAGGTGTTCAAGGCCAGGTTGGATGGAGCCCTGGGCAGCCTGGTCTGGTATTAAATGGGGAGGTTGGTGGCCCTGCCTGTGGCAGGGAGGTTGGAGGTTCATGATCCAGCCGTTCCAAAGGTCCGTTCCAACCCTGGCCATTCTGTGATTCTGATGTTATGGGCCAGCATAATAAAATAGGAGATATTACTTTTGGAGTAGCTCTCGTGTGTTGATAAAATCCTCCTGTACCTTGTATAACCTAAATAGATTCAGCTGTTTCAGCCTTCTCTTGTATGTGAGATGCTCCAGTCCCATTATCACCTTTATGTCTCTTTGTTGGATTCTCTCTTGTACTGGACAGCCCAGAATTGGATACAGAACTCCAGGTATGGCCTCACCAGTGCTGAGTAGAGGGTGAGGTTCACCTTTCACAATCCAGGATACTATTAGCTTTTTCCTTTTTCCTTTTTCCTTTTTCCTTTTTCCTTTTTCCTTTTT